CACCTTTGATATGGTTGAGAGCAAATATATCAATCGGTAATTTGACGGATCTTTGGTATCACCGTTTTTGTGGAATGGTACAACCGATCATCAATGCATGCTTCAGAGTGGTTGGAAAGGCGCCAGAAGTGAAGGGGATGTTAATTGCAGATGCTAAAACATGTAAGGCTGCGCTGCGGTTTGGTTTTTCCGGGATTTAAAAGTAGATTTTATTTCTTCAACATCTGTAGGTGAAAATTTAATTAAATAATCGATTGACTCGCAAGCCGTCAACATTTTTATTTCAACAAATTCAAGAGCCAGGAATAGATAAAAATTGAGAAATAGAGAAAAAAAATTCAAGAGTAATTGGGAAAACATTCCTAGACACAAAGTATTTTGTTTTTATTCCAAGCTTTTGAATTTTCTCTATTTAGAAAAATCTAAATGAAAACGAAAATTCGAGAGCCGAAAGTTTGACTTGAACGTGACATGCCAAAGAAAATGACTTTCAGCATTTGGAATCTAAAATTTAAAATAACGGAAAAGACTGAACTCTCTTTCATTCAAGAACACCTAGAGTCACAGAAAAACTGACTGAAATCTTGACTCTCTGACGGTCCTCGAGAGAACTATTTTAAACTAGTTTTATATTTAAAAAAAAATATATTGTTTGTGACCTTTTATCGTGTACAGTACAGAACTGTAATTCTCGTCGTGTCGTAATGTTTTTTATCCTCGTCGTCGCTGTCCTTTTACAATTTTAACTTCTGTGTCGGAACTTGACAAGTGAGTGAAAAGAAAAAGTTGAAAAAGGACCCCGCACATGTGGTATATTTTGACTTACTGATAAAAAGTTCTCATAGGCCCAATCCGATACTATGAATAGTTTCCGAAATACAGGTGGTTTAATGTCCAAGAAATGTACACATTTTATATGCATTCACATCTATCTGTTACCTATTAATGGGTCTGTCAGAGTGAATTTCATTGGTTGAAACTAGTTTTCCGACTGTTTCTGACTGTTTTCGACCAATCAAATTCGCTCTAACGGGTTTGTGATTTTTGCAGAAACAGACCTATTATTAGGTGACAGGTAGATGTGAATACATATAAAATGTGTAAATTTCTAATGGACATTAAAGTACCTGTATCTCAAAAACTAATCATAGGATTGGTTCGGGCCCATGAGAACTTTTTATCGGGGAGTCAAGGTCTAACACATATCAAAATTTCATTGAGTTTGACAGAAAACCAAAAACCCATAAGAGGTTTGCGGGGTCCTTTACGACCACCAATTTATTATATATGTACAGGGTGACTCACTATATTTTGACACCCACCTGCAACCGTAATTACAGGTGATAGGTGAAAGGTGTAAATACAAAAGTTGTAGAATTTTATTTGAACCGCAAGAATTTTTAATTAGATTGAACAAATGAGCAACGCAAAATAAATCTGCCAAGTTTAAAGGAATTCGGGAAACGGGTTTTGGAAAACCGATTTTTTCAAGCTTTGACATCCTGTATCTCGAAAACTAAGCATTTGCGGACCTATGTTTCCTTTTACTTTTTTCTTATTTTAATGAGTAATATTTATCCTCGAAGTTTTATCCCTTTATTCATTAACACCCTGTATATACATAATATGTTAATGTTTCTTCCAATAGTTTTGGAAATATCTGGAGTTTAGTTATTTAAAGACCTATTCAGGAATCAGAATGTTTTGTGACAGGTGACTGGTAAATCAAGGTAAAATATTGTTACGGCTCTGGCTGGCGTGACAGAAATCGTGTGTCCTTTTATTCAGAATCAAAGTCCAATTATCACAATAATAATTTATTCCACTTTACTATACACTCTGACACTATATAATTACTTCACTAATTAACTCAAACAACTAAACTCTTTACAAGTCTCAACAATAATCAGTATCTAAATCATTTCACAGTCAATCTTAAACTTAAAAACTACATGCCAATACCGGCCTTTATAGATCCGTAATCCATTCTTGTATAATCCAGAATAAACATGATAATCTCTTTGCCCGAATGAAGCAGTCTTTTCTGAAATTTTAGGCATGGATTCTGTATACCATGGCGAAAGCGCATCACGACAATATCACAGATTACCTACATACAGATGCGAAAGAGCGGCGAATTCATGGTTCAAGATTAATTTGATAGACATAGGCTGGCCGCACCAATGCCGCATCAATGTATTTTGAACATATTTATTATATAAATGCGGAAGCTCAATAATATAATATTATTTCTTTAATTGGTTCACAAACAGCAAAAAAATATTCTTTTTCACCCGCAAAAATATGTAAACACAAAGGCTGGAACATGCTCACGCACCCGGCCACGTTAATTGTCCTGACGCGCGCGATCTGTATCTATGCGTCAGGGCGCTGGCTCCCCGGCTTCGTCACAGAATATCGTCGACGGCAAGTATACGTACTTACGCATCTGTATTAGGTGATCTGTGACAATATATTCAAAAAACAACTGTCTTTGAATAACTAAACTCCAGATATTTCCAGAACTATTGAAGGAAACATTAACATATTATATGTACTTATATTTTCTGAATCAGAAAAACTAGAACTTTTTTTACTTTGCGTTGCTCATTTGTTCAATTTAATTAAGAATTCTGGCGGTTCAGATGAAATGCTACAACTTTTGTATTTAGACTTTACACCTATTACCTTTAATTACAGCTGCAGGTGGGTGTCAAAATATTGACCTCCCACTCTGAGGCTCAAATTTCATGAAATCTTGATTGGTGCAAACCGCATTCTGATATCTTCAATCGTTTAGCCGGTAGAGGGCGAATCTTGATTTTGAGCAATACTGTGAAACCTTCATAACTTTTTTGTTTATGGTATTCAGTGACGTTCTCAGTTTTCTCTATTTGGCTCCGATTTCGAGATATTGACCAAAGTCCGATTTTTTTCAACAGAACACCCTATATATTTAAAGCTTATTGGAAAGCTCTGCTTTATATTTTTTCTATTCCAGGCTCTTTTTTTTTCAGAGAAATTTAAGAGCCGGGAATAGACAAAAATGGAGCGGGAAAATTCAAAAACAAAGACAAATTGAGAAAAAACAAAACACAAAGTGTTTTGTTCCTACTCAAAAAGCTCTAAAATTTTCTCTACATATTTAGGGAAATTTATAAAAAAACGGAAATTCAATTGCCGGTAATAAACAAAAATTAAAACGGAAAAACAGAAACAAACAAAGAAATTTAAGCGGAATTAATTTTCCATCATTATTATTATTATGTATATTTATAACTATAAAATAAATTATTCTTGTGTGGTCTTGGTTCATGTTTGCTTATCAGTCTTATATTATATTTCATAAGAAATATTTTAAAATATGTAATAAATTATGGAACCAACGAGCAGTGGACATGAAAGAAGGGGCATTTATTTCTAAATCGAAGCAGTCTAAAAGAAAAGACAGAAATGTTCTCATATTAAAATCGATATGATAAAGAAGTAGATATTCTGGAAGAATATCGTATCGATACCTTTGACTATCGATAAATCCTTATTCACTATCAGGGGCCGGATTCTCGTCTCCCTGATAGAACGAATACTTTGTCCTTTGTCCTCAAAAAGTAAATGATAATGATAAAGACGACAAATTTGTTCTTTCGGGGAGCTCTACTCCCTGAGATGAGAATCGGGCCCCAGGTGACAATTGAAATTAAAAATAAGCCAAATTTGTTTTGTTCTATAATAATAGCACCAACTATTTTAACTAATTGAATAGGAATGCTTGCTATGCAGTTTCAATGTTGGTAATGAAACAGTACATTATTCAAATTCGAGTGTCTACATTGATTGCATATCCATAGATCCTTGTTTCATAATATAGGTATGTCAATGATGTTGACTTTCATAAGAAAAAAATTTCGAAGAGTTTCTTACTATAATCTCTCTAAAGATTCTCCATTATTCTTCGAGTCCAATATTTGTTGGGATAGATCATAAAACGTATCTACAGGGTGTCCCAGAATATGTGGGCAATCTCTCGGATTTAGATAGAACTCGAAAAAATAACATAACTTCCTATAAAAAAAATTCCTACGGCCCCCCCTACGAAGTTACGTGCTCCTAAAGGACGCCTCTGGAAATCGGTTTTTTGTTGATAACTTTCAAAATACTTCGTCTAATTTTTTTTCTTTTAATATGATGGATACTAGGTTAGACTCCCTAAAATGGACCCTCTCAAACAAACTTGACCAATCTGGTTTGCCAGGGACGGACTAGCTTTAACGCAATAATAAAACTGAAGAAATATTAGTAGAAAGGATTAATTTTCACTTTCGCGAAATAAGGCCTAATATTGAAGCATTGTCGAAAGTCGAACAATATTTTATTAAAATAGCTATGGAATGCATAAGATTAGAAGGATCTCATGTTGAGTCGACATAAAAAATTATTTAATAAAAAACCATTAAAACACAAAAACAGAGTTTTCTCGAAACCAGCTCATTTTTTTGACATCGATTCGTTCGAGTACCTTTTTTCTAGTTCAAGGTTGAAATAATCTAAAAATATTATTTCTATGCCTATATCATACAGGGTGTAAAAAAAATTAGCATTATTGTGTTAAAGCTAGTCCGTCCCTGGCAAACTAGATTGGCCAAGTGTGTTTGAAAGGGTCCATTTTTAGGGGTCTTATCTAATATCCATCATATTAAAAGAAAAAAAAATTACACGAAGTATTTTGATAGTTATCAACAAAAAAAACGATTTTCAGAGGCGTCCTTCAGGGGTACGTAACTTCGTAGGGGGGGCAGTAGGAATTTTTTTTTATAGGAAGTTGTCATGTTATTTTTTTGTGTTCTATCTGAATCCGAGAGATTGCCCACATATTCTGGGACACCCTGTATATTATTTCAATTACCCATACAAATATCATGCCCATTATCAGTCTTTTTAAAAGAGCTGCTGGTTTAATTGATACAGAAATATATCTCAGAACAATTTTCGTTTTGTTACAGATTACGGTGTACTTGGGAAAAAGGGATTTCGTCGATCATATATCACATGTCGACCCAATAGGTAAGAAGTGATATTAGGTTAAAAATAATATTAGTAAAAGTATTTTTGATCTTAATAGCCAGTGTAATTGTGTAAAAAAAAAACCATCAAATTTAATCAATTTCAGATGGTGTAGTTCTAATCGACCCCGAGTATGTGAAAGACAGAAAAGTATTCGGCCACGTTTTGGCGGCATTTCGTTATGGCAGAGAAGACCTGGACGTGTTGGGCCTCACTTTTAGAAAGGACTTGTACTTAGCTTCGGAACAAATTTTTCCACAGAATCCCGAGTCGGCTAATTCATCCAGACCTTTAACACGATTACAGGTAAGAATCGTACTTGTCGTATTTTTTTTAAAATCTACTATTATTATTTTTATTTAGGAAAGGCTTATTAAAAAATTAGGCGCCAACGCATTCCCATTCTATTTTGAGTTGCCGCCCCATTGTCCAGCCTCTGTGACTCTTCAACCTGCGCCGGGAGATACTGGGAAACCGTGTGGTGTGGATTATGAGCTGAAAGCTTTCGTAGGGGAATCACAAGATGACAAACCACACAAGAGGAACTCCGTTAGGTAACACCAAACTGTTTTTCTTAAAATCACATCTGCGGAATCGTCAACTCCGATGCTTGAAATATTCAATTCAAATTCTAATTTCGGAAAAGCTTTAAGTGTCCAAAGTACACGTGTCACCGTTCTTGGGGATCTACTAAAACCTGCCAGACTAACAACAACAACTTTTATTCAACCAATTGACTTTACAAAACTCAATAATCACTTAACTTTATGCAACAACTAGCTGTACCCTACGTGCGTTGCTACGCCTCCCCTAAAACAATTGTTTTAAACTAACCCAAGCTTTACGCTTCAGATCTTTCCCACAGGAACTGTGCATTTTTCCTCGACAAAAAGTAACCTTTAGCTTATAACAATCGAACAAACAAACAAACAAACATTGATTTTTTTCATATTAGATTGTAAAATAGCTGTACAATGATTTTCGCCTAATGGTTATTAAAATAATAATGCAATCGTTCGCCAATCTGTGTGTGTGTTGCACGCAGTTGTAGGATGCGTAACCTATCCAGAAACCTTCCTTGGGATGGCCACAACAACCTACCAAAGTTTCATCATAATCGGATAAGTGGCGTAGGAGCACATAAGGGACAAACAAACAAACAAACAAACACACATTTATTTTTTATACAGGTGATTCACCCGTAGCCCGAGCATTAGAAGTTTTCAAGGTTGCAGGGGGATTAGAAACTTCAAATTTGGTTTGTAGCCATAATCATTCGTTCCGGTGTCACCTTAAAAATTTTCAGATCTTAACTATACAGGGTGTACCAAATGTAAGCACTAACTTTCTTATTTCAAATGAAACTAAAGAAAAATTAAAAATTTCAACATAGTTCGGTTGGCCTTGCAATTTTGAGTTTGGACCACCGTTTTGTCAATCGATCTTCTATAGTTTTTGACATAAATGTCATTTTTTGTTATAAATTGCCGCTGCGGTTATTTAGAAAAAAACAAGGTTTCTTGAAGGTTCAGGCTAACTCCTCATGTGTCGTTAGTGCGCCCATTTCATACCATATGGATGCAGAGGACCTACAAACATCGGCATTTTTTAGCGAGTTCCCGTTAGTTCCCGTGTTACAAGCGGTTACAGGAAATCAATATCCGATCCGTTTTTGCGAGAAAACGGTAATAGGGGAAGGTGTTTTCCTGTCATAAAGTGACGTCATCATTCTATAACACGATTATTGTTTTTGATACCCAAGTCGAGAGTTGAGTAACTGAAGAATTCTAACCTTAGATTAATTTGTGATTGTTTTGATGTGTTTTTTTCTGAGTTATTTTTGTTATTAGAGGATATCAAAAAATAGCAGATCACGCATTATGGTCTATAAGCTGTCTCTCATGATTTTCTCCCAATAGGTATACATTTCAAGGGACACCACTATACTTGACTCGATAAGACTTAGAAATTAGAATATACAGGCGGGTGTTTTCAAACATAATATCGTCAATTAGTAATAAGGACTTAATTATTGACTTCATTTCCTTTATGTTTACCACAAAATATAAACTAAACTCACTTTACTGAGAAATATGTATAACCGTTCTGTTTTAGCGAGAAGCGGTTTAATCCTAAAAATTTGCCAATGGTAGGGATATATTTTTGAAGTGGGAGTGTTACCGTGTATAACCGCACCGGTTATAAATGGTTATTACTGGGATCTCGCTAAAAAATGCCTATTGGAATCAATAATAGTCAGCAAGTCAATTTTTTCAAATGTCACTTACCATATTTTTTGGCACCATTCGAAAGAAAATTGAATTTTACATGGCGTTACTTGAGCATTCCCTATGCCTAACTTGATCCGTTAGTTTGTTTTCCATAGAAAAATTCATTTTTTCTGACTAGGCATCACAATACACCTTTCACGCCTGTCAAGTGTCAATAAATAGCCGGTATGAATGTTGTTCGGAGAAAAATAACTATTTTTGCTGTTGTTGTTTTTTTTCTTTTGGTTGACACATCAAGGAAGGAGTGGATAAGTTACGGGATTTCTTGATTTTTATGAATAACTCAATAACGAACCAAGTTAGGTATAGGGAATCCCTAAGTAACGCCATCTTAAATTCAATTTTCTTGCAAATGGTGCCAAAAAACATAATAGGTGACGGTGACATTAAAAAAAATAGACTTTTTGACCATTATTGATTCCGATGTTTGTAGGTCGTCTGCACCCATATGGTGTGAAATGGGCGCACTAATGACACATCAGGAGTTAGCCTAAACTTTCAGCTAATATCTTCTTAATTTGGTTTATTATTTTGGAACGGTTTTTAAGAAACCTTGTTTTTCCTAAACAACTGCAGCGGCAATTTGAAACAAAAAATGAAATTTATATCAAAAACTATAAGAGATAGGTTGACAAAACTTGGGTGGTCCAAACTCAAAATTGCAAGGCAACCGAACTATGTTGAAATACATGCATGCTTCTATTTGAAATAAGAAAGTTAGTGCTTACATTTGTACACCCTGTAGCCACTAAGGTCGGCAAGGTAGGATATTATGGAAACCATAGACCTTCCGGCTTCGGGATTTTTTTTTCTTCACTAAATCGGCCAAGAGAAATTGATGAAAATTATTTTCAAGTTTCTAAGATGCTGCTAGGGGGCGCAATTACGATGATATAACTGGAAATTCAAATTTTCTCGAGAAATCGCTATATTAAGATACTGTTTTAACAACAGAAATCAGAAGTTCATTAATTTTTAGGCCAGTTTGGTTATTAGGCTTTTTTCGTATCTCCACTAATAAGGGTGGGGGAAGCTATTGAAAAAATAGTTTTAAAAATTGCTGTTTCTACCATACCCCTTATCCAAAATCATTCAATTTAGGCTCATTTGAAAGAGAATTTCATTGTCATTAAGAACACCACTGCGTTCGGGGTTGATAGTTCCCACCGCGTCTTCTAAAGGGTGCTGTTTAACCAAGATCCAGTTTTTTCAAATCCAAATGGCATGATATCATTTTTTTATTGCTGTGCTCAAAGAGCAAAAAAAATATCTACATTTTGGCGCAAGCCACAATTCGATATCTGCATTCGTTTTCAAGTTATGTAAGGTCTATGGTTTCCATAATACCGTACCGTACACATACGTACCTTGTCGACCTTAGTGGGACACCCTGTATAGTTGAAGATCTGAAAATATTTCAGGTGACACCGAAACGATTGATTATGGCTACAAACCAAATTTGGAGTTTCTAATCCCTCTGCAAGCTCACAAACTTCTAATGCACGGGCTGCGTTAATCACCCTGTATATACTGTGTGACATAGAAATTGCAACAAACAGTAAATGTAAATATATTTTATTAATATTCTGGGAAGTAGTTAGGATGAAATATGATTAACAGTCAATGACATTTTCAAACAAATTTATTGAAAGGAATTCTTAACAATTCAATAATGAGTTGCGTCTCTATGTAAGTTTTGACATTCTGTAATTCTTCGTGGCATGCTGCGAATTAGTTGATCGATATCTGCCTGTGGTAGGTTCTCCCAGGCTAATCTTATCTCATGACGTAGATGTTGTGCATCCAATAGAAGATGTGACTGCCTCAGCCCTCTACCTATCATATCTCAGACATGTTGAATGGGCGATAAGTCTGGTGCCATTACGGGCCATAGAAGAAGGGTTACATGTTAAGCTTGTTGGAGGAAGTTTCTAGTAACTGCAGCGGTTAGTGGTCCCGCATTGTCTTGTGGAAAACTTGGATCTTGAATTATTAAGAATTCCTTTCAATAAATTTGTTTGAAAATGTCATCGATTGTTATTCATATTTTTCCTACTACTTCCCAAAATATTATTAAAGTATATTTACATTTACTGGGTTTTTGCAATTTCTATGCCACACAGTATATATGATTCTCTTATTTAAATTGATTGGCTGACTCATAAAGTACGCGCTTTGTATTCAAAAAAATCGGCCCAATCTGACAATTTATAGAGCTTCGCTGCGACTTGATAGTTTCGTTATTAGCAGCATTTTTGTACATCCATATGTCCAATTTGATTGATGAAATTTTAGTTTATTCGCCAGTGTTTTCAAGCATATATTTGAAATTCCCTAGCTATTAGCATGTGACTGAACGATTTTGCGCAAAGGTTACAAAACAATGTCATATGTTTGATGGAATTTAACTAAAGGGCATGAAATGGATAAAAAAATTCGTTCTATACAACCTCCCCAATCTGATGTTTGATATCAAATCAAATCAAATATGTTACTTGTGAAATTTTCTCATCCATGTCGAAAATCCTAATAAAGATTTCAAATGGAATAAAATTTGCTAGCGGAATAGATATTAAAATATTTAATATCAGGATTTCATATCGAATTGGAATAGGCTATATAGCATTATTACTTGGCTTCTCTGTTACTTTAAAAAAAAAAAAAAAAAAACAAAACACAAAACTCAATAATCTATTACAGAATTTAATGGCCTGTAAATAATTTAAGCAGAACAAAGAAAAAGAGAAACTGATTTTTCCTTTTGTTATTGGAATTTTTTTTTTCCCCTGAAAGCAACAAAAAATAGTAACCAATAAGTTTTGTTAGGGCCCTTGTTGTGTTTTCAAGTGGGCCCTTTTGTTGGTGAAAAGTTGTTATCTAGAATACATGTTTATAAGATGTGTATTTCACATTGTTTATATCAAATTTTGGTACTAAACTTCAAGGTATAACCATACAACTTTTCTCAGTTTTCATATTTTTGGTCAGTATCGAAACCACTTTATATTCAAGGAAGTTGCAACTTGAAGGCTTGTTCCTAACTTGCCTGATCCCAAGTATTTATTAGGCAACTTGGTATTGTATAAAGTTCTTCCTCAATATCTTTGAATATGCGAAATAGTTTTAAGATGTTTTAGAGGCATTTCCTGACTTGTGACTAAATTAGAAGCAATTAAAGTTTCTAATGAGTTGTATTGGAGGTCAGGTCTTCAGGGATTTTAGATGATTAGTACTTCGCATGCAGTTACATAATTTGGTAATTAAAACAGATAATTATTAATAATAATAAGGAAATTAATGGACATCAATATATAATTGTATCTATTTTTCTCTTAATTTAGATTGGCAATCCGTAAGATTATGTACGCGCCAAGCAAACAAGGCGAACAACCATCAGTGGAAGTGAGCAAAGAATTCATGATGAGCCCCAACAAACTATACTTAGAGGCCTCACTAGACAAAGAATTATATCACCATGGTGAAAACATAGCCGTGAACGTGCACATAGCTAACAATTCGAACCGCACAGTAAAAAGAATCAAGGTGTCAGTTAGGCAGTTTGCAGACATCTGTCTATTTTCCACCGCTCAATACAAATGCACTGTTGCAGAAACTGAAAGCGAGTAAGTAACCTTTTTTTATTATTTTATTTTTCTATAAGTACCTTAAAAGGCAACACTGTGCTAAAATAACTGATATATAAGTAGTTTTAAATTGATCATTATTAGATGTTACTGACTTTTTGGCCCATTGTTATTTTATGAAATTGTTTAAATATGTATTTTGTTTTTGCCTACTTTTGTGTCTTAAAAATTAACTACTATCAAATTACTACCAATTTTTTAAAGGCGGTGTGTAAAATACACGCCAACCTAAACAGATCTGCTTTATTGTGCGATCTATCAGTTTAAGCCAAAAATCAGTTTCACGAAATTATCCAGAAAATTTCTATTGGAAAAATTTATTTACCAAATATTATTGTAGTACAGGTTGTCCAATACCTCAAGGTTACACTCTGAACAAAGTGTTCACCGTACGACCTTTATTGGCAAACAATAAGGATAAAAGAGGTTTGGCCCTAGATGGCCAACTTAAGCACGAAGATACCAATCTAGCCTCATCAACTATGTGAGTTGCCATTTTAAGGCAATTTTTTTTGGGTTACCTAACTTTGACTTGCCTTTCTATTGCATTGTTTTATTTTTTTGCTAGAAATTGGTAACCCCGTGTAACCATTGCATGATTTTAAGGGGTTTCAAATTTATTGAAAATTGAGGCCTCTTTTAGCTAGATCAGTTTTTGGAGTATTTTATTAAAGTATGTTTTTGTGTGTTCTTTCCATTTCTTTGCGTAGAGAGGGTTGCCCTATTGGCCCCGGCTTCACACTGAGCAAAGTGTTCACTCTAACTCCGTTGTTGGCCAATAACAAGGATAAGTGGGGTTTAGCTCTAGACGGTCAGCTAAAACACGAAGACACTAATCTTGCATCCAGCACTTTGTAAGTTTTTTCTTTACTTAGATTCAGATCTTGAATTCTCTTCAATTTCAGTTCAATCAATTATGTTTTTATGGTAATTTGAAAGAGTTCAAGATATGTTTTTATCTTCTTTCTTAGCTTTTTTCAATCAATAAACATTATCAATTAGCAGTATTAGCACTGTATTACCAAATAAATTAATTATCCAAAATTTAAATGCTTTAATCTAAATAATATAACGTGGGCATTAAAGATTTTTTTCATTGCGAATAAATTACAGAATTTTTTAACCTAAACTAGGGTTTTGATCCAGTTTAATTAAATTAATTTAAGTTCATTAGAAAACGTGTCCAAGGATTATATCCCACGGGTTAAACACAAAATAAGTTACTGCGTAGAATCAAAGTAAAATTATTTTGAATTTTCCGTTGGTGCATAATAATTTGGGAATAATAGCTATTGTTACCTTTATTGCCAATTATTGTATGCGATATGTTCAAGGCTTTCCTGAATTTCAAATAAATTTGGTTGAATCTGTTTATTATTTGTGATATATTTCTCATACAAAGAAAAATGGTTTCAATTTCTTTACTTTTTATTATCCAATATTATCGAAGTGAAAAAGTACCATTACTATGAACAAAAGATCAGTGAACTGCAAAAGTAACCTATATATAATTAATCGCAAGAATGCAACAACTATTATAAACAGAACCTGTTGTAGAAAACTTATAAAATTATAAATTCGACTTTTTATCTCAACATTTGCATTTTTAGTTGAGGTCTGATTTTTTTTTCTTTTTTTTTTTCTGATGTTTTTATTGAATCATTATACATTCTATAATCAAAATTTGATTGTTGAAAGTAGGTATGTACATATTTCGGTATCGCTTGTAAATAAATTACTGGTTTCGCAAATCGCAATAATATGATTTGTCAAACAATTATTAATTTGGGATATTTGTAGATATGTAACCCAAAATATTCGAGTTATGTATTTCTTCAAGCATGTCTTCCAAGTTTTAGTCGAGTTTTCAGGTCATTTATTTAATTATGTTTTTTGCATGGTTATTTCTGGCATGCTGTTATTATTTCAAATATAGTTTTTCAAATTACTAGCTCGTGGCGCAATTTTATTCTGTTTCCATGTGGCGTTTCCAACGTTCATGCTGTGCTTCGATTATTTGATGTTGTAAAATCCAAATGAAATTTGGCATAAATACTCTTTGATCGATTATCTAGGATCCCCTTATTTAATTTTTTCAATATTTCGAGTTTTTCTGTGAATACCATAATAGTTAATATTTTCTAATTTCTATTAAATCAAATGACTTATTACGTTATGAATTAAAAAGAAATAGATTGCCTGTTATTATATATGTATGTACATATTTTCAAATAATCAATTTCTTAGCGCATCGAGCTAGTAAAGAACTAACATTCAATACAACTATTTGACTTATATCAGATGCTTCTTAAAATCGAATTTTATTTGGAGATATTTAATAAACAAATAATTTTAGAGTTGCTGATCCGGCACAACGAGAAAACTTGGGAATTATCGTCCAATATAAGGTGAAGGTCAAATTGTGTCTTGGAGCTCTTGGAGGGTCAGTATTTTTTATTTGTTTCTATTTTCCATGTAGCAAACAAATTACCAACCATATTTTCTAAAAAAAATTGTATTTTTTGTTTAGCTCGATATTACCATAACAAATATACATATGATGTTTCAGTGATCTGGTGGCAGAGCTACCATTTATTTTGATGCATCCAAAACCAGAAGAAGAGGTTATTCCACCAAGTGTTACCCCGTCAAGGAGAGTCAGCAAAGATGGAGAGCATGAGGTGCCAGTTGATACAAACTTGATTCAACTAGATGCGTATGTATATCATTATTATTCAAGAGTAAAAAATAATTTTTCGGCCTATAGATTTTCATTAATGTTATGTGATACTAGTAAGTCAGTAAAGTAGACTGTCCCACTACAATACGCCATTTACAGAAAATGCACGAATTTTTTATTAGGAGATTTGAAGCTACCTAATATTGGAAACTTATTGCTAGAAAACTTCAAAAATATATTTGCGGTGCTGATGAAATGCTTAAAAGCGGATTTTTATCTCTAATTGCCTCTTCAAAAGCTTTTCTAGTGATCCTTCAATAGAGGCTGCCACTTCAAATTGTAAAAATTCTCTAACTTCATTCCAATCGAGAAGTCGGAAGACAAATGCGACATAACTAACTACTGGGGCATATCATCTCTGTCATACCTAAACTTTTTGAATATATTGTCACGGACAGAAATATTGGGTTCGTTTATTCCAAAATCAAAGTCCAATTAACACAATAATAATTTATTCCTCGTTACTGCACACTCTGACACTAATTACTTCACCAATTAACTCGAACAACTAAATTCTCTACAACTCTCAACAATAATCACTATCTAAAGCATATCACAGTCAATCTTAAACTTAAAAACTAGTAACCAATACCGGCCTTTATATATCCGTAATCCATTCTTGTATATTCCAGAATAAACGTGATAACCTATTTGCCCGAATAAAGTAGTATTTTCTAGATTTCAAGTAAGATTCTGTACTGTTTGGCGAAGGCGCCACCGTGTACATATCTTTATAGACGAAATTATCTGTGCTTAGCCTCTTTGCTTTATTCCAACTACTCTAGAATTTTGGTGCCCAGTTCAAGGTTGTACAGGTCTTTTATTGGATGGTGTTTCATTATTGTTTCCGGGACTACGTTTGGTTTCCCAAAAATGTTGTGTCTTCTGCGATCCAGTTTACCAGGATATGTCTGGGCTGTCCCAAATTCCTTATTGCAGAGTCTGCAGTTAAGGTATCCGTCATGCAGGTTCATCCTGTTCATGTGGACTTTTACTGATGAGTGGCCTGTCATAAGGGCCGTTATAGTCCTTAGTGGGCTCCTACTCATTTGTAGTAGTTCTGCGGCCCTTTTTTGCCTGTTTGGTCGATGAGATTCTGCCTGGAAGTTGTCCAGTAGTGTCGATGTTCTCTACGAGCCCAGTGTTTGATGTAGCTTCTGGTCATACTTTTTGGTATCCCTAAAGCCAGCTCTGGCCTGATGATTTTTGTCCCTGACTTTCTCTTTGCGAGTTCGTCAGCTTTTTCGTTGCCTTCGATTCCTCTGTGTCCTGGTACCCAGATAAATTTTACATTATTTTCGTCCGCCAGGGCCCGGAGCTCTTCCTGGCATTCCCATACTAGTCTTATTCACACTGTCTGGCACGAAAGAGCCTTCATTGCTATTTGACTGTCGGACATTATAAGGATCTGCCTGCTGGCTACGGCTCTCCTGTTATTCTCTTCTGCGCACTAGAGTGTAGCAAAGACCTCTGCTGAAAAATAGAGGCATGCTGACCCAGTGCATATTGATTGTTGTAGCTGGCAAAGTATAGCCCTGCCCGGTACCAGCCGCAGATGTCGACCCGTCCGTCTACCCGGTCAGGTTCTGCTTTTCGGTCTCTGGTATGCCCTGTTCCCTTCCTATTCAGTTCTATTTGGGAAGCTGACCTCGAACGGTCTGTGTCGCCTTGGCATGTGGCCTGTCTTCATATTGGAAATATCTGTCATGTGCCATGTGTCCCATCTTTCTGTTGTAGGCGGTTATCGGTTGCAGTTTGTACGCTCCCATCCTTGCCTCCCCCTGTATCACAATGTGCAGAGGTGGGAGGTCTAGGAGGGTCTCCATGGCTGATTGATGTGTGATTGTGTGATGTGTTGATGTAGACCGCATTGCTCCCGCTATACCTGAGCAGGCCATTCTTTGCACTTTGGTTGGTGTATGGCACTTCCCTGTTGTGTCTTGGCCACCACACTAGGTGTCAAGGTCCGTTTGACCATCATGCTGGATGTCCAATACAGCAAGTCCAGTCCCAAGCCCCATAATTTTCCATGCAGACGTCTAGCTATCATGAGCAATGCTACAGATTTTTTGGTGGCGTTTTCCAGATGCTGATTCCAGGTAAGTTTTGAGTCCAGTGTTACCCTCGGGTACTTCAACTTCGCTCAAAATCTGTATGTTTTCCCCTTTTAGTCTAACTGGTCCCAAGTGGATTTGTTGGGATTGATATTTAACCCTTCTCTATCCACCCATCTTGTTGTTCAGTCTGGAGCGTCTTGCATTCGCTCCCTAACTGTAGAGTTGAATTTGCCCCGTAGATGATAACTATAGGTCTGTTCCAACACGTCAAAAACCGTCCCATGAACGGTTTGGAAACCACTCTGTATACGAATTTCGGATTCTGCACAGAAATTTTAGGCTTTGCGCAGAATCGTGACGATACATTGTACGGTTTTCTGCTATGTTCGAACCAAGCTAATGTCGTCAGCATATCCGAGGGTACGGTGTCCTCCGTCCGCCCTTAGATTTCACAGGACCGGGGATAATACCCCTCCCTGTGGGCAACCCCTGTAACCCCGGGCCGCTAGTGTCCCCTCTGCGACGGTGATTTCTACCATTCTTTCGCTTAGCATTGAGTTGATTCACATACAACAGGTGTCCTCAACTCCTTCATGCTTGAAAGATCTGGTTATTTAATCAAATGAAGTGTTATCAAAAGCTCCCTTTCTCAGGGTCCTTATTCTTGAAACAGGGAAGCAGCGTTACCAATAGAACAAGTGTTCCGTCTTTGTTACTTATATTATCAATTGCATATCATTGAGAAAGACGGAACACTCGTTCTCCTGGGAACGCTGCTTCCCTGTTTCAAGAATAAGGACCCTGGACTTTTGATGACAGGGATCGCTTCTCAGTCACTAACCTCCCTTTCTGGCTTGACAACATCATAAATATACCATAATCACCATATGAACAATACCAGGGCACTCACTCGCCTTCATTTCTCTTTTCTTTCTTTCTTTAAATACTTTGCAGCAAAATCTAGTCTAATCACCATTAATGAAATCTATCTATATTTTTTCAGAGATGAAAGCAACTTACTGGACCACGACGATGACATTATTTTTGAAGATTTTGCTCGTTTGAGGTTAAAAGGTGGGGAGACAGATGCATGAGGACTAGTGCAAGTAGGGGCTACTCGTCGTCCATTTATACCTATACGCACTGACGTATATGTAACCTGCGAATAGGCAGACATTTTTGAAATTTTTATCAACCCCAGTGTGTGTACCCTAGTCATGGGCTGTTTCTCAGCCCCAACCAAAAAAAAAAGCACTTATTGTAACTTTCAGATAAACTGTTTGTGTGCTGCTTTGTACTGGGTGTCCCATATTTATCTAAAGAATAAGAAGAATAAGTAGATATTAAGGATGCACTTTGATAAATATAAAAATAGATAAATAAGGCGAGTACAAATTATGTGTTTGTTAAAATTGAAGGAAATATTTATTGCCCTGTGTACAATAATGTTACTGATAATTTTGGGACATCCAGTCTTAGGCACGTGTTTTAAAAACATTTAAGATATCGAACCAATGCTCAGAATTTTTCTGGCATACTTATCCTAGTAGATTTCTCTGTGTTTCTTATTGTTTTCTTTTATGGTCTGGATGGAAAAATGGTATTAAATTACCTTTTGATATTTGAAGTTGCAAAAAATAAACAAATCAAATGGATAGTGAATTTCCATTTATTTATGTGGAACATTTTTAATACCTGAGACAAATCTTTGTCTGTCTCCCAAGTTCAAATTAGGATTAATCGTTCGTTCTTAAATGTTTGCACTACCAGATTTTCTAAACATAATAGCTGTTTTCCTAATAGTGGTTCTATTTTGAGTCAAAGCACCCGCTTCAATTTATTTAGCTTTTTTTCCTAATAAGACTGATTGTATCGATGCTGAGCTGCGGATATGGCTGTGTCTGACGAAAAGTTTCATCCAGAAAAAAAAATGCAGTCTAAGTTGTAAACTGATTTTTCGTTTCACGCTTAAGAATAATTGTCTTGACATGGCTTTATCTTGTAAAAGATATTTTAAGATTGTGACAAAATGTATTGTGAAATTTTGAAGGGTTATTTAATCAGTCAAACTATAGCTCGCTCTGTTTTGCGGGATTTCTTCCTAATTTTTATCAACGAACTTACATAATATAGATTAAGACATATTAGTAATGATAATTGTTGTGTTAAAAAAAATTGAAAATTTTAAAATGCTTGTGCTATATTTTTGGTAAAGCTTATTTTGTAATTTGTAGTAATTTTAAGATAAGCTCTAGTTTTGTATTTTTACATTTTTGCGCCTAATAAAGATAAAATTTGTTCTCAAACTATCAGAGGTTTATTAGAATATTAGAGTGAGACAAAATATTACATAGGCCCCATTTATTAATTGGCAAAACAACAGAAATTAAATACTTACTTCATGTTTCAATCCAGTGCAAATCCTCGAGTGGAACATAACACTTTTTAACATATGGTCAAACTGAAGAAAACAAAAACAATCCAACTTTCACTTTTCTTGGATAAAAAAGAAAAAAAAAATCAATTTATAACCTCTATGTGCATATCCATTTATTATTTCTCACGCATTATTGGCTATCGTGTAGAATTTCATCTTGAAAAATCATTTCATAAAGATATTCGTACTTTACATTGTGAAAATCTCGAATGATCGATTATAACCAGGTTTCGTAATTATTTTGGTAAAAAATTGCCGTCCAGAACAAAAACTTTGACTATGCAATATCCTAAAGTTTCACTAGGGCAGAAAAGTAACAAAAAGAAATTATAGGTCTGTTTCTGCACAAACTAGTCAGAGCGAATTTCATTGGTTGAAAACAGTCAGAAAACTAGTTTCAACCAATGAAATTCACTCTGACTGGTTTGTGATTTCTGCAGAAACAGACCTAATATGTCACTCGATTGTTGAAAGTGAAGCAAGAGTTGCTATTGGAAAACAAAATATTCCACTGAGAATAAGAAAAAAATATATACAATGACTACAAGAAGGTGCACTCTGTGCAACTGAAACATATTAGTATATTATGTATTTATATATTGTACGTATTTAAATTTATAATATGGTTCTTATGAATTTTGAAAAAGGTGCTTTGAACAAATCTAGACCCGAATTATTACATGTAAACTAATAACTGTTTGGCCAGATGTCTATAATAATAATAATTGTATTTACTGCTTTTTTTGAGGTGAGTTTAAAAAGTTTGTACTGAATTTTTTTACAAACATTTTTTATTATTTTTTTAATATGCACTTTTATACTTGACAGATACCACTATTGTAGAAGTAAAACTTTCTAAAGCGTTTTTTAGATTTTTATTAGACAATGTGAGAACCAAGATTGAACTGTCTGTTGGGGGATCTGCAAATTGTATTTGTAAGGTCAAGTAATGTTAAATTGACAAAAGTTGTCATAAATAGTCGCATTATTATTTGCGAAGTATTTGAAATATTGATTTAAATTTGAAATGTAGGTATGTGAAAGGGTCACAGGTAGTCCTAACAAGGCATATTTGAGGGTGTGATGCTTTTTACAAGAAAAAAAAACTTTTGCTGAAGTACGTGGATTATGTCCTGTAACAAAATCGGGAGAAAATATTTATCACCAAGCAAGAATTATTACGCTTATTATTTATGAACTTAGTGTAGTTTTTCTTTATGTCAATTTTAGAATGGGCTAAAAGTTATTATCATTAATATCTTTTTTTTTCATCAATTTTTGTTCTTGCGATAATATGAATTCCTATAATAGCCCATTTTCTTCATAAGCCCATTTAAGTTTTAAAATTATAGTAATTATTTTATTATCTTATTCTATACATTTTAACCCATATCGCAGTTTTAATATATACCCAATATTGTGATATATGTAATTTATTTATGCCGAATTAATTTTTTATAATATATATTTTTTGCACTGTGTGGTGAGCCTTGTGATAAATATGTTTTCTTAAAAAAAAAAAACAAAACGTTTTGAAAAATTATTATTAATGTTTTTTTGTATAGTTGATTGCATTAGGGCACTTTTTCTAATTTATTTGTTGTCAAGCATTTTTAATACCAAGATTTATTCAGTGTTATTTTTTTATGTTTTTTTTTGTGCCTTAGCGAAAAGTCTAGTCAGCGAATGATGAATTCTAATTCTAATCATTAACTTCGAGTAAATTTTAGTAGGTATTTATTTCCTAATTTCATTCACTTTTCAATGTTGAAGAAAAGTTGTATATTTTGCTGATGGTTTTTTTGCTAAACCACAAAATATCAGGAAATTGTATTTAGGCAAATGTTGTGAAACATTATTGACGTTTATACATATGTATCCCTTAATCCATATAATAAAATAATATACTAGTCTTTATATTTGTAAGGGAAATTCATCACACAATTGTCAATTCGGAAGTCCATTTTATAAGTTAAGTCTTTTTTTTTTTAATTTATAGAAAAAAGCAACTTGCTCCTATATATAGAAATCTTATTTATTATTTTTAATAATAAAATGTGTAATTATTCTTTAAATATTGTTTTTTTTTTTTAATTCGAAATTCTCCCAATGTTTCGCTACTAATTTCTTCACAAATAAAGGGCCCTTTGAAAACCTTGGTTTTGAGTGGACTGTATTAAAACACTTTACCAAACTTTCTATTGGATAAACAAATAACTTCTTAAACTATTGTCATATACAATATTGGGATGAATCGTAGTGAATCCTCTAGTTTTTCTAATTCTATTTATTATTATTAAAAGAAATGGTATAACTAAACAGAAAAAAATCCCTTGTTTTTCAGCACCAATGCGTGTCAAGAATAGGATTTTATCCACATTTAAATTGACAGGAGCAGGTTATTTTTCGTCACCATTGCAAGCTTTACCTATTAGCTATTACCCTATACTACCTTATACCTACTAAACGGTGAAAAGATTTAAATAATTTATTTTTTATTGTGTATCTCCAACACTCAACATTCAAGGGTAATCAGCATCTAAAAAGAGGAAGAGGTTATCAATTAGACAAGCGATCCTTTTGTATGACTGTTTCCGATCAATAAGAACTTTATGTTGGTGGAACAAAGAATTCTAGAAAAGAATGAAATCGTTCATTTTCCCAAATGGCATTTAAAAAAAAAAGAAAATATGAGTAGGATGACCATCATAAATTGACCCCCTCTCTGCAGCCGTGATTACGGGTGACAAATAGCAGAAGTGATAATTACAAGAGTACATCTCCGAAAAAATTGTTCGACAAAAAATTATCCAAACAAAAAATTTTTCGAAAGGGAAATTGTTTGACTAGAAAACTGTTTGGTAAATTGATCGAAAGTTTTTAGGGCGGGTATTATTAAACTACTATTTTGACAGAATAACTGGAAGTTAACTTCTGGAATGACGTTACTCATCATAGTAAGTCCAGAAGTATTTTAGTTATCTGTAAAAATATTTTCATAATACCCGACGTTAATCTAATTTATTTTTTTGCATTATTTTTTTTTGTCATTGACAATACACTTGGGAGCGTTCGTTTGAACAATTTTCCAGGAATCAGAAAAGTGGTATGTCGTTTTACCTGAACCGCCTGATTTTTTGATCTGACCGAAAAATGAGCATGATACCTAAATCCCAAATTTTGACAGAAGTTGTATTTTTTTTAATTCTTCTTCGATAATTATTATTATATGTATTAGCAGCATTGTTTGCAGTAAGTAAGTACCTAATTTAGGAATCTAGGATAAAAGCGCACGGCAAAAAAAACGCTCAGGAAATAACCGCACACGGAAGAAAGCGCACAAGGAAAAAAGAGCACGGCACGGTGTTGCACTTTAGGGGTTGAAATATGAAAAAATTAGCTTTAAATTGAGTTTTTTTTTTTCTGAAGATTTTCGATAGAGTTCCATATTCATCTTTTGACAGGTGATACCCTATCATATTATGTGTCCAATTTTTTTCAAAAAAAAAACGCACAGGAAATAACTGAACACAGAAGAAAGCGCACAAGGAAAAAAGAGCACGGTAAGGTTTTGCACTTAGGGATAAGAAATATGAAAAAACTAGCTTCAAATTGAGTTTTTTTTTTCGATAGAGTTCCATATTCATCTTTTGACAGGTGATACATACATACCCTATCATAAGTGTCCAATTTATAAAAAAAAACGCACAGGAAATAACCGCACACGGAAGAAACCGCACAAGGAAAAAAGAGCACGGTACGGTTTTGCACTTTAGGGGTTAAAAATATGAAAAAATTAGCAATTAGCTTCAAATTGAGTTTTTATTTTTTTTTCCCAAGATTTTCGATAGGGTTCCACATTCATCTTTTGACAGGTGATGCATACCCTCACAAAACATCCCCCCTTAGAAATGTAAGTCTTATGAGAGACGTCAGTCTAGTCGTTTCAGCTTTTCCCTCCAATCACTAGAGGCGCTTCAATCGACCTATTGAAGTTTTCTTTTTCCTGCCGGACCGTGCGCCAAATTTTGAAGTTTATTTTGTCATTTCCAGTCGTCAAAATTTAAATTTTGAACTTCTCCCAACATTTAGAATTATCAATTACCTATCAATTATCAATAATTATTATCTCAAAATGTCTTCTCTCAGTTTGTTAATTGAAAAGCATCAGAAATGCTGTGTTCCGGTGTGCGGCGACAAATACAGCAGCTATTTCCGGTTTCCAAAAGATGCCGAAAAAATGAAACGATGGCTAATAAAACTTACTCCTCCCCGCATAGTTCTGATTAACGACAACGTGTTAGAATTCGGGTTTAAAGGAGCATAGGTCAGAAACATTAAAATTAATTTTAATTTTAGCCCCAATTATCAAAAACAGTGAGGAGTCGTTAATTGATAAACCACAATCATCAAAATGGCAAAAAGTGGAGATCGACCAGTTGAAACTCGTAAGAGTCCTAAGACGTCTTCAGAAATTAGTTTCGCAACTATGATTGACATAGGTAGGTAAACATAATAAGTCTGTTCCAACACGTCAAAAAATCGGCCCATGAACGGTTTTCTGCTGTGTTGGAACAAAGCTACTATTATTCATTTCTTTTTTTTAATGTTTATTCCTTTATCAGGAGATACAATAATTAAAATATTCCTGGTTACATACAGGTACACCATATTCTACAATGCGTGTATCCAAACTTTTTTGGTAGAATCATTGTTAACGAAATTTCTGTTTTAGATCAACCAGGCCCTTCATGTCGTCAATTTTTATCTACTGAAACTTCTGCAATTCGGGCAGACATTGTTACACCAAGTGAAACCATCACATCTGCAAACATAAAAAAGTCACCAACTTTGTCTCTTACAACTTTTATTGGTAAGTGTTATTGCTTAATGAATAACCACCCAGTTGGGAGTAGGTATTTGAATTTTAAAACATCCTAACCCAAGTAGGACTACTACTATAAAAGACTACTAATTACTAAAACTTGCAGTCGAATGCTAGAAAAACTAGAAGCTAAATGTGCGAAAAGCTTGTCTCCAATCTTGATTTTTTTTTTTTTGCAGGTCATGAGAGACGATGCCAAATTTTAAAGAACATTAACGTCATTAGGTAAAAATTCCTATCCCCAAGGGAAAAATATCTTTATTCCAAAATTATAGAATCCAGCAATAAGTTGAGAAGAATCAGTAGAAGGTTGTCGTCATTTAAATCCAAAGTTTCTGCTGCTGAATAACTTGCATCATCAACCAAATTTCAAAGGCTCGTAGACCACGTCAATCCATTGATATACAGCTTTATTTTAAGCCAAGTCCGTACTCAAAACCAAAAGCCTAAAGCTAGACGATTTACATTGGACGAGAAGTTGTTGGCGTTGTCTTTCCTTAAAGCTAGTGGTAAAGGGTATAGACTATTATCAAAAATATTTATTCTATCATCCAGGCGAAATCAGTTTCTTGAATGAGCTTTATATTATGTATAACGACATAAACTTTCTACCTAACACATGCGGAAAGTGTATTTTCTGGACTTAAACGTTTGTCCGAACTCTGCTTTTGTTTGCATTCGTGCAACTCCCATCACGTGTAGAAACACTTTCCTCACTTGTTAGGTTAACAACGATTTTGGATTGTGAGAAAAGGACCTCTTTTGTCATTTTATTTACGATTTAAGTTTTTCATCAAGCTATTGTTAAATGTACGTCATTACTTCCTGTAACTGTCCTTATTATCTTTAACTTAACTAGCATTACCTACCTATGTATGTATGTATACTTACATGAAAAAAAAATGTTTCGCAATAATTTTAATTAATTCCATATTCTATTATATTTTTTGTTTCAAACTTAAATAAATATCTAAATTTGTCATCTTAATTCTTAGTCAATTTTACCTTGAAGGCGCTTCAACGCTACCGATTTTATGAGTTTCTTCTTTTTGGCACAATTATTTTATGCCAAAAAATGGTAGAAACTAAAGTGGTGGTGTTGAATCGCTAGAATCAAACGATGGTGCAAATGATCCACCGGAACGAATAAGATACCGAACGAACCCTAATTGCGTTAAGCATTCGCCAATAAATCCAGAATTACAAAAGCTGACCCCTCCAGTCACTAGAGGCGCTGAAAACTTATAGACAGTACATAGACAGTTTCTCAACATGGCACTTACCTTTCTAAGGGGGGATGTTTTGTGCATACCCTATCTTTCAACATTGTGTCCAATTTATTTTTTATGTCGAACAAATTGACTAGGGATCAGGACCTCCTGATTAAACTCTGAGTTTTTTCAATTTTTTATGCATGCATTTTAATGGAAATTGTAACATTTGAAGAACCAAGACAAAATAAAAGTAATTAAGTAGATCCTCTATCAGTTCCAGCAAATACAAAAGCTGTATTTTTCATCAATCGAAAACATCTGAAAAATGTCAGGTCATCCAGCTCTTGGAAATGGTTTTTCTCTCGGAAACCTTCCAGGGAAATCCGACCGCCATAGCTTTGTTCCAACCAATGAACTAAAAAAGCACACAAATCAGTGACATGTCATTTTTGCCCTCTGGGACGGCACCGGCATAATAACGGTAAATTTAATTGTGTCAAAAGATACCTTTTGTTATTACAAACAAATCTGCCAAGTCTATCGGAAATCGAGTAAGGGGTTTTTGAGCTATAAATAAAAAAACGATTTTTTTAGAAAACTTTCACATCCTGTATTTCAGAAATTACGCATTTCCGTTTATGGGAACTTTTTTTCTTAAAATATTGTAAGGAATCACATCCTGAAATTACGAACCATACTTAGGAATAATAGGTTGGTCATAGAACTGTCATGGAAGGTTGGTTAATAGCTAGCCACCACCTAGCACAACAATTTTTAGATCAATCAAAGTTTTAGAACCGAAGTTATCTCCCCTTCCTTTCTTGTTTTCGAGTCGCTTCAATGCTGGCACAGCTTCGTTTGAGGCGTTTGAGCTACAACAGGCTAGTACTTACAACAAAAAATAATTCTAGCACAAGTACACTTTTCAAAATACAATGCCTCAAAATGCGATGTGGGGGTGGAGGAAAAAGCTGAGTTATTTTTTGGGATTTTTTTAGGGGAAAACTAATGAAGGTTGGAGTCAATCGGGTAAACATTAGGTAGAAAATTATTGATTTTTGACGGCTGTCCATTTTCTTTCCTACACTGAGAAAAGTCCCAGGAGAAAATTCTTTGCTGGGTTTTTTTTAGCCGTTGCAGCAAAATGTTATTTTTACTGAAACTTCTTTATTGGAACTGCACATTTGTTATTCCAAAAACAACGTTTGCTGTTATAGCAAAACTAAAATTCCATGAAAATGTTTCTGCTACCCGGAAATAGAATTTCTCGATAGATAGATACTTTGTTGCAGCAAAAAAAAAATTCTCATAATTTTTGTTGTTGTTTATGGTAATGTTTTAATGTTTTTTGCTACTCCATAACCTAACTAATGGCGATTTCCATTTGTCATCAGTGCCGCACTGAGTGTATCCGCATCTTTTTCTAAAAGCATGTAACATATAAGGACAAGGATACATTTTTTTTGCCCTGGGGCCGCATTCTGTTCACGCTAAAATACGATCGAATTAAGGCGATGTCGCCAGCGACTTTAGTTGTAGGCAGTGGATAGAGGTCCGAAAATTCGGATCTCTATTGTCCATACTAAAGATCCGATAATTTTCGGATTTTCAATTCGTATATTAGGGGTCCGAAAATTATGAAAATAGGTTATGTGCGAGAAGTTATTATACTATTATACAGAAGATTTGGTAAACAAAGCATAATAAAGCTGGATTTATAGTGTCAGTATCCAGTAACAGTAACAGTAACAGTAAAACTTAAAACTTAAGAACAGATATGAAAATAACCATTTCTTAAGTTTTACTGTTAAGTTTGTTAAGTGAATTATAAATGGCTTTACGGTAGGCCGTGTTTTAATATTTTACTGTTACTGCTACTGTTACTGATACTGACACTATAAATCCAGCTTTTACACAAAAACTTTAAAATTGAGAAAGAAAACATTCCTCATCATCAAACAAATTGATCCCGTAATGCCCGATTGCACCATCTCTCTTAACTGAGGCTTAACGCTAACTATCCCTTAAATTGACAGTTTTGCATGGGAAAATGTCACTTTAAGGAATAGTTATCTCTAAGCCTCGGTTAAGAGAGACGGTGCAATCGGGCATAAGGGGTGTGAAAAAGTCATGACTTTCATAAAAAAGTCAAAAAATCCCGACTTTCTGAATTAATTCGGACTTTTTTGAATTAATTCACTTAAAAAAAATTAAATTTCATTTGCCTCAATAAAATACAAAAACACAACCAAAAAATAAAAAATGTTTTATTTTCTTCAAAAATCTCAAAACATAACAAAAGATGCAATTTCTGTAAAACATACTGAAACCATTGATTGGATAAATAATAAATAATAAATAGGTACAGTGGGAATCATTGCAATTGGCACACACTATATAAATATCCCTCGTAATGTGTCAAATCTGACACACAGTAATAGCAAAATGCTGCACTAAATAGATTTATTGGTTAGAATTTTGACTTAATACGAGGGATTTTAAAGAGTGTGTGCCAATTACAATGATTCCCACTGTATGTAAAGTATAACCATTAACAATTGAAAATCGCATCTCTATGGTGACTACTCAAAATTAGAAAAATACCCCTTATAATAATATAAAATAATTTTTATATTTTTATGCCAAGTCCTGGTACACAGTAGAATTGATTCGACTTTGTCGCTACACGGATTCTGTTCACAGGTTGCGATCGAAAAAAGCTACTTCACATGTCAAATCGATCGCTCCGTTTCGATGTAGCAAGGGCTGTTGCCTGCATATGTAAAATCGCTGAACAGAATCATTTTGATTGATAGAGTCGCTAGCGACATCGTCTTAATTCGATCGCATGTTAGCGTGAACGTAATGTGGCCCCTGGCATCTTCCAAGGATAACACACACTAATACTACAGGATAGCTTATCCTCATGAGGCCCGTGTATTTAGATCAAATCTCGAGCCCCCACCACGCCAAAGAACCAGTTATGACGTAGGAAGCGTGTCGTTTCTCGCCTTGACGTAGGGTGTTTGCACCACAGCTTATGATTTCGCGGGCTTTTGCTTTATGCATACTTGGTTGTACTACACTGATTAATATTCTAAAACAAAGCTTTTTTGAACTCACGTTTGCATCTTCCTCTATGCCTATTATGTTAATCAAAATTAAATAATAATTTTTATCATAAATGTATATTCTACACTACAACCGCTGGCGCAAACAGCTGACGACGGAGTAGTTGATGGCGTCGTCAATGGTGCTATACAATATGGCCGCGATTCCCAAAAAACGGGGCCGATTAGCAATCCTGTGTAGTAGTGTGTATTATCCCCCCGCACTTACTAGGATATATTTTTGTTAGGTACTATGGACTGTGCTAGCTCTACAACAGCTTGTGCTAGATTGTGCTTGCTCTATAGACTCTTTGCTAGCGTTTTGAAGAAAAAAATCAATAAAGGAGCTGCGATTTTTTCAGTCTACACTTTTTTTCGTGTGCGTTTATTTCCTTTGCGCTTTTTTCTGTACGAGTATTTCCTATGCGCTTTTTTCCGGTCATATGCGAATCTAGATGTTTTATACATTCTGCTTGGTCAATAAGATTTTATCTAGAAATATTGAAGCATTGCTGACTTTGAATACCTACTCTGATTAGGCCGATAAGTAATTCTTGCAACGTCTATTTATTACCATCGTGTGAACAATAAAAGACCATGTTCAATCAATTTTTATTTTATTTATTTATTTATTTATTACACAATCACGTACCTATACAATCAAATAGAGTGTCTAGTGTGATAGTGTCACACCAATGAATCACAATCAGCAGCAACATCCATATCCAGAAACTCCCTATAATAATTAAAAAAGTCGGCCTAAGAGATATTTCTAAACTATGTACATACTTGAATCGTTAAGCTGTCAGCTCTCTACAGAGGCAGGCAATTTATTATAAAAGACAGGAGCAATAAAGATAAAGTGTTGCATTTCTTGGCGTTGTTAGTCTGAGAAAATCAATCCTGATATTGTCGCGATGTCTGGTATCATGTTGGTAAGTTTCACCCAGGGCCACAAAAGTATGCAGATTATTCATAAATGTATTGTGATGGGACAGTTTAAATCTGGAAATCACGATAAAACCATCTGGGGACCTCTCGGTATCCGACATTAGCCAGAACTCTCACTGCCTTCCGCTACCAAACACTCTGGAAGCATGAGCCAAATGACACCAAGCCAACAGAGCATAGCAAACAAACGAATGGAATAGGGCATGGTATGCCATTAGGGCGACCCTCAAGTTGGCAGTTCTACACATATTTTCAAGTACCTACCTACATACATTCCAGATGTAATTTTCTTGGAGATATGACTTACGTGGCACTCAAAAGTCAGTTTGGGGTCAAGCATTACTCCCAGAAACTTTATCTCATCTCGTCTTAAGGTAAATGTTATATTTTCGGATTTGGTTTGATTGAGAAAAAGGCTGTTGGCAGGAAACCAGTCCCCCACACTCTCGTGGCAGCCACTCACTTCCTCACACAAAGCGTTGACTTTCCATTAGCCACCCAAAAGCTGCTATCATCAGCATAATGTCACCTCATTGTGCTGCAGCGTGGATCTTATATCATTTATGGAATAATATGAAAAGCAGAGAGATCCGAGTATGGAGCCTTGAGGGACCCAATGTCTCATCATCTCACTCTCCTAGATCTCTCTCCTTTGAAACTTTTTTATTTATCGCCTATCTGTGAGATAGCTTTGTATGAGATTGCATGCCCACCGGGCAGCAACACCATAATGCTCCAGCTTGGCCACAAGAATTTCATGCGAGACGCAGTCGAAGGCTTCTTGTATTTCTATATTTCTTGTACACATTCAATTAGGAATTGAAAAGGAACGGAAATAAAACATAGAAATTAAAAAACAATACTTTGTCATATATTTCTTCGGCGTAAGAAGACCCATCAATTTTTACAAAAATATCAAAACCACTCTCAAAATCTGGGCAACGGACGCGCAGCGCCGGTCCCAGAAAACGGATTGCAGTAAATTTATACAATATATTTTTAGATAGGTAGTTTACTGTAATGATCTCTATTTTGGTATGAATTAAGTTATATTTAAATTATTTATTCAACAAATACAGTGTCTATTCAGTCGTCCTAAGAGTGACCGAGGTGTCTGGATCCAGACCGGATCAGACAGCAAAGAGAAACAGTAGAGAACAATCATAGCACGACAGTATAGGGTGCTGTTTTTAAAACCTATAAATTGAAAAATTTTATGCATTTTATAATTAAATATAATAATTGTAGTATTATACAATATAAGTTCTATATTTAAAGAATTTTTAAGTACCTATATATTATGTATACTATATAACTATATAAGAACCACTAGGTATAAGCTAAGCATATTATGCAGTTTTTTTTTGGGATAGATAAAATTACATAGAGGCTAGGTAGTTAAATAAAATTCAGTTATCTTATTATATGCGTGATTATATTTTAATGAAGATTTAACGTTTATTTTTATGAAAATATTTGTAGCACTTTTTAATCTTCTTAAATTATATTACAGTTATTGTGAACTAACTTTACAATTTCAGGGCAAAATTTAACAAACGTAACAAGGAATAAAAAAGCTTTTTTTTTTCACAAAAATATTATATTTGATCCTGAAATGGAACATTAACACCTTAGATATTAGGTTCAATTATTATTTACCTCCCATTAATTTAAAGCTCATGACCTTTTATTTTATAAATAAAAGCACATCGTAATAAGACAGACAATAAGTTATAATATATATAGTAGGTAGACGAGTCAAGTCGCACACTTGCGACTATAACTAATCATTTCCGATTTTTAACCCAAAGTCCGCGCGATGGCCATTGATTTTTTTGAATGGCCAAAACCGGACTATAGGGAGGTTGTAGCTTTATACAAATCAGTTTATATTATAAAATAACAATTATAACAAATTAACGATTTCATATTTACCATTAAATTACAAATAACAACATTCAACTGAAATGCCACTTCACAAATATTTGGCATTAATAAATATAGGAGATTTGGTTTGTATTTTTATGTAGCAAAACGTGCCGCGTCCGAGATGATGGAGAGTCTGTGCGATAGGTACACAGAAAAAAAAAAACAACCCGGTTCAACCGACACTTGAGTTCAATAATATACAATTATAATAACATGCCATATGGTTGCTCATTATACAATATATACTAACACCCCATCAATAACTATTTCCTAGTAAAACATGAGGTTCAGGAAAATTAATCTTGGAATAATTGTACTATATTATCTTATTCAATTGGTGGTGAGGTATGTCCTATTGGATCCAGCGCGATTGCACACCGACTTCCTGCGCCGAATGACAAGTTTTTTTTCAAATTTTATCCTCGGCATTCTCCAAGTCACTTACGAGTCACGGCACTGAGACGAAAATAACTTAGACTAGACTACTGCTTACTGGTAGCAGAAAGAAACCTGCGCACGAGAGGGTGAGTAGGGAGCGCAGCTTTCTTTCCGTGATAATCAGCGATACTCCTGTTGTGACGCCACAACGAATTTCCCGAAATAAAAACCAACGCCATTACTATAGGCCGTAAAAGTGAATTCATTTATTTCGTTTTTGTCCCGGGAATTTTTTGGGGATTGTCGCTGATCATCGTCTTTATAGACTAGAAAATAAGCTTTAGTCTATTCATCAAAAATTACTCCACTACAAACAAGCCATACAGTATTTAAGCGTCAAGTTCCTTATTAAGCTATAAAATATAATAATTTAGTGGACCCTAGCAAATAAATATACTTTATCTACGACGCTTATTAGGTACATCATCACAACTTGGGTAATTTGAGTTACTTAATGATAAGATTCATTATGTGATGCAATGAACTCATTTAGGTATTGTTTGATACAAAATTGTTTTTGGCATGATGAAAACTGCTCGCTAATTGTTTTGTCAAAAATCTTATCAACGGTCGTAGATAAAATGATGTACGTTACACGTGCGCTAATGCATTTCTATTACACTCCTTGTGGCTTCAAGAATCTGTCTAAGACCTATTCTGGAACTATTCCACGCTAGTGAATATAATTGGTTATACCGCACTTGTAACTATTTCAGTGCAATACCTACAATACAACTTTAGATATATCAGCTGTGACAGCAAAAATGCCGTTAAGAATTAATTTTAGATTTAAAAAAATGGTAGATAAATAAATCGATATAAAATGATCATCTAATATGGAGATATACACGAGCTAAAATACTGTACTTATTTGTCAGGAAGAAGAGGTCACTTCTGGTTACCAAAAAACACCCCTTGTTTCCTGTCTAAATGAAGAGAAACTTATTCCGATACGGAGTGTGGGTATAAAATGTGCGTGTAACAAGCCGCGGTGTTCAGGCTGTTCCGTCAGACACGTATATTCTAGAAAAAAACGCGTTTATCACTCTATATCTATCACATATCTACCTTAACAATTGCGACAATACAGGTAGGATAAGGTAGGTTCGCAGAACATCCTTAATCTTTTAAGGCAGAACTGGGCTTGGACATCAGAATAAAAATTTGAGGGAAAGAAATAAAGTACCTAAATGAATAAAAATTGTATTGAAATAATATTCAAAATGATAAATGTTCTTGTTCCACCTACAAAATAGAACAAAAAAACTAGGGAGGAATGTGAAAGCAATTTTATCCCATGTTTATTTCAGAATCAATTTTGGAAATATGGCAATAAATACTTGTTTCATTGATAGTTTTCATTATTTTTGCCAGCTAATTACGAATCTGATGTCAAATTTCTTAGCTGGAATTTTGAAATTTCAAAAAAGTCAACATTATAATATTGTTCATTGAAAAAAAAATTGTTTTAGAATAGAAGCCCAATATTTTGGAGATTACAAGTTTTTTTTTTGTGGAAAGTCATAAGACGCGATAAGAAAGTGTTGGTCCCTAGAAAAGTGGGAAAAAAATAGGACATTACTTTTGCATTTTAAAAAATATACCTATATATATCTGGAAAGCCGAAGGCAGTCGGTAATCCAATTTAATTTAGAAGCTCATGGCTGAAACATTTTTTTTTAGTCTGAAAATGCCCCAGGGTGGTAGAATAACTGATGTGAAAGATCATAACAAACAGCAATTCAAGTGTTTTGAGCTCTGATCCATCAGGAAATTGGAAGTATGTAGCAACGGAATTAATGATAGAGTAGTGCAATTCTCGGAAAAGGAAGTTCACTGAAAAGTTTGCATAAAGAATCAACACCGTTGACGATGGATATGGATAACCTATAAAATTGAACTTCAGATCATGATCCACATTGTAAAACCTACTGGCATATGTTTACCAAAAATTATCTATTCATTTCAGTGATGAAAAAAAATCTATTTTTTTACCAATCAGCGCTGAAAACATATAAATAAATCAAATAAAGACATTTTTGGTCCTTTAATACACTTTTTATTTGGAATTTCTGTGATTGGTAGTTAATAGTTTATAATTTGTTTTCCTAACAAAATATATTTCATAAAATAACTTAAAAACCTACTAAATAAACAAGAACAAAATAATAAAAACTTACAATAAAAAAAAAAAATGTTGAAAAAGCGCTTGACTAAGAATGTTCTGCTAAAGCGTCACTACCAAGTCGCGTGGCGGGCTTGCCAGTAGACACAGCTTTATATTTATGTTAATCCTATGTATATTACAAATAAAACGGATTTCTACAAACAAAATAAAGAGTTAGTATAAAATACAAAACCATTAAGTTTATAAGCATCAGCAGCAGAGCCTAAGCGACAAGCTGGGTTGCCATGTCTAACTTGAATGCGACAACCAAGCTAGTCGCGAATCTTAAATCTCAATTTTTAATAATCTATTCTAATCTATCTACATAACTGTATAATATTTTTTAGACCTAGGTAATAATAAATTTCAACCGGGGAGAGACCATAACGGGTGATTTAACAAACAATTGCCACTAGTTATAAAATTACATATGTTACAGATTGTTCATCGATCCCAGCATTTTGCTATACATACTTCAAAATTTAGAAATATATTTCTACTCAACAAGACTTTTTTTTTAAATTAAATACTTCGATACTATCAAACGTACATATATTATTGAACGAAGCTTTCGTATGTATTTTATGAATCAATCCCTTTTCTAAAAGCCTTATCCCAACTGCTATTTTATTCTACGCTCTACCTGTTAGTGCTTAATCTTAGAATAATCTAAACACAGAAACGATTGCCTTTAATATTTCACGCTTATACTTTTTGATCAATGAAAAACTATCAAAATTTAAAACTAGAACACAATTACAGTACAGTGTCATCTAACAAAAAAACATAAGTTTGATAAAATGTTCGAACAATAATATTCTGAGAATCGTGTTAAAATACCACAGTAATTAAAATATTAAAGACAAAATAATTTAAGTGAAAATTAAACAATTTCCATCTACCACTTTCACCTAAGTAATAATGTTTATACTGAGTTGATAACACGGTATATGTTAATTAATATAGGGAAGGCTGTGGTTTTAGCTATACTAACAGATGCATAGGTACACAAATAATTTTTATTTTTATTATTTAGATTAATGGATGGATTATTTTTAGTGACTACATTCAAAATTTGCAATAACTTTTGTGTTGAAAATGATTAAACTCTTTGCCGCTACTCTAAATATTCAAATTATTATAGGTAATTATGATGGATCTTTCATTATCTAAATACTAGAAAAAGTAAGTTTATATGAACAGGAAGGCTGCATTTCACAAAAATTTGTTGCGATATTAATTTAGAATAACCTAACACCAACCTATTTATCTCAGAATATTTACAAATCCTATATTACAGTACAACATTAATTCAGAAAAATCCGAAATGCGCTTCAACATCCTATCAAGTGTCCGGGTTTTACCACTCATTTCGAATAACGTTTGATGTTTCAAAAAAAAAAAGTTTAGTTTTAATTTATCACATTAAAGTTGTTGAAAACAATTCAAAAATTCACATTCAAGTATCTCTTATGGTCTACTTGTGGTGATACGTAATTTGTCTAAAAAATCGAAAATTATAAATTATTTTTATATTTTGATTAGTACCTAAAATGATATTTTCGTGGCCGTGTGGCTAGACTGCGCGCCATGTCATCAGCCATCAACAATGTTGATTTTTTTTTTTACTTACCTGTAACTTAGTTCAAATTAATAAATAAAGGCATTTATTATTATTATTATTATTATTATTATTATTATTATTATTATTATTATTATTATTATTATAATCGCATAGACACAAAATGGATATCAATTTTCTGGGCCAAAGTTTTTTGATTTAGGTACCTAGTATTTTATCATCTATTGAGATCAAGTTTCATCCTGACTACTCCTAGTAAATAATCTTTGTTGTTATCCAATTGGTGTCATATTTTCTACCATAGTGGTAGATAAATCACAAGGTAGTTCGGCATTATGGCCAGAAATGAAGAGCAGAAGAAATAGATACAAAGAATAATTTTTGTACCAAGCGGATTTTAAAAATATATCGGAAACTGTCAATGTCAAACTTTGAAATATGACTTACCTCAGGCAAAGGCGCAAAATATTGGTTGCTTAAATCGTTAGTGTAGATAAAGTATCGCGTAGGGCTAAGTAAAGTTTAAAATGTTTTTGGTATAATCTAATACGAGTATCGAGCAAAAAGGTGGGATCGTGAACGAATCAAGACGATCAGGAACGTCGTAGGTGCGCAAAAAAAAAATTACCGCCTCCCTCCGTGTTTGGCAGAATGGTGGCGGTCGGACTCGGCGTTCCGATGGATTCGAATACCGAGAACGTCTCCCTTTACAGGACGACCAAATGCTTCTGTTGGGTAAGAAAAAGTTTCCGCGAAAGGCTGTAAGATGGCACGGGGTGCGGTACCCCACTACCGCCGCATAGGCACCTGATAGGGGCGGTCTATCCCCACTTATTGCTTTTAGCTCGGTGGCGACTGCATAAGAATAGGCTTTGAGGTGAAGTACGATACCAATGTACAACCAAATAAGCAGTTGGCCATCCTTGTATGTCTTATCAGAGCCAGGAGGCGATCATAAGAGGTGGAATGACGATAAGTGTTATAAGGTCGCAGAGTGGTATCGTATCATGTGAGTTTACGGACTGCTACCGGCTACCGCCGAACTAATAATAAGTCCCGTGACTGCGTCCGCCGGGGGAACGGCACTACAGAACCGGCAGCTTACAGTTCGCGGCAGGCGAATCGCGCGCTTTTTGACGTCGAATTTAACATCGTAAGGTACGAGTGGAGCTACGCAGCTTACTAAATGACGGCTAGACTGCCGTCTCTGTATGGCTGTGAGATGACAGTCGTTCCACATCGATTTCCGGAATAGTCAATTCGTCGGGGATGTTGTCAGCATATTCTATGGAAGAAGCTTGCGACAACCTCTTAGAGAGGGAAGTTTGTTTTCGGAGCACCTCGGCTAGGGAAGCATTGCTGTGCTCGCCGTATCGAGCGTCTAGGCCCTGTCGGAAAGCATTAACTACTCGGATCTGAAATTAACAAGAAACACAAAAAGGAACAGAATTAAAATTAAGATACATTCCCAAGGTAAAGGGTTTGGCTAGCTGTTAGTTAGCACATTCGGAAAAACAGATCGTGCAAGGTAATTTTGTTCTTAAGCCCCATGATATGGTTTCTCCTGCGAAGCACTTCTTCATATTGAAACGCTTAGCATTTCCTAAAAAAATTCTTAAGTATCAGTTCGAGGCTACCCTTTATGATACATTACAAAATCTACTAGCTGCAATAAAAAAATCTCAACCCAATTACCTGAACAGAATTATAATTAGAGAAGAAACAAAATATCAAAATCTAGAGAATGTTTTTCGATAAGGCAAAATTGGACGAAAATTACTAAATAAATAATCCTCTAAGCAGTCTAAGCTATCATTTTATCGTACTTACCCCTTGAAAAATAAATTAACATTGGCTCAGTCAAAGTTTTAACCATCCAAAATCGTTAAATTGGTAATAATTATTAACTGCATTTTGAAACATGATTCCGAGTTTTAACTTATTCGGAAAAATTTTTGATACTTCCTAAGTGTTGATCTGGAAAAATTTAACTTCATCCAAACAGCTCAGCGCATCAAAAAAATAAAATCGAGTAAGCAGGAAAATAGTTTTGCGAAAAATATTTTCAGAAAATCAATCACAAAAAAAAGCTGGCACAGTTTTTACAGTAGCCTACACAAAAGAAATATAAAACTAATCTGACACAGCTATTGTTTTGGTTCAAACTAGAACCGTTCAAAACGGGTTGTACATCTAAGACGGATTCACAGTCCTAACTACCCATTTGATCTGGTTGTGATGATAAAAAGAAAACATAAAGGCCGTCAGAAATTGAAACGAGGAAAAATAACTATCCGTAAATCTCAGCAAAACAACGACTATATACAAAAAGTAGAAAGCTAGATTTTTAAAGTTCCCACCTTCTTGCTTTGATGGCCAAAAACTAGCTGAACTACTGCTCAGAGCAAATTAACTAAAGTATACAACGGTCGGCCTGTCTACGAATAACAGAGTCACCTCTGAACTCACCTTTACGAGAGAAAAGAGACAAGAATAAATGCCAAACTGATGGTTCCTTGCGCATTTCGAAGATGCAGGGTTGGCTGAAGAAGTTATCCTTGTCTACAATGACCAGAGGCTGCTAGGGTTGGCTGAAGAAGTGACACCAAAGGCTGCTGAAGACATCACGTGACCATGAATTAAGAATCAACAATAACTAGACTATTGATGACATCATCATCATCACAGACTTTTTAAGACTTGTTTATCGCACCCAGAGGCTGCTAGGGTTGGCTGAAGAAGTGACATCGAGAATAACCAGAGGCTGCTGAAGACATCAAGTGACCACGAGTCATGAGAATCAACAATAGGCAGAGCCTGTTGGTGACATCATCATCATCACAGACTTGTAATAACCAACAAATCAAATGGCATCGCAACTGGACTTAGATTATCCATTCGAAGTGGTAGTGAAGAACGGCCAGTCATAGACGATCATAAAACTGCTGCGAGCGAAAAACGCGTCACTGTGGTAAACATTTTGTTCAAAGCTCATAGAGGGAGTTGGCTTGGGAATAAATTGACCAAACTTCAAACCCTCCTCAGCAATGGAAAAACCGTTCACAATATTTCAAGCTGTTACTATAAATACAAGAGAGCACATTTACATCCGTCAAGGAGTTACCAAGGGCACATCGCAGCTGGTTTAGGAAGGCAATCCGAAGAGGTTCTGCATTGATGGCAACGAGGAAGTAGATTTTCACGCGAAACAAGGTTCTACAATAGGTACTTTGCCAAGGCCAAGAGTTATTCTGTGGACTTATGAAGAAATGAGCAGATAGGAAAAGATCCAAATGCTAACTCATCAGCTTCTGGAACACGCAAAGACGTTCATATCCATCTCAGCAAAAAGATTTGACATGAACAGAACTGACAGTCGTCGATCTGCGATAGGTAAAGCAGAATTCTGCAAATAAGCAACAGAAACATCGGAACGTCTGCTCTTTGAATGCCCTCTTCAGAGGGGCAAGAGGCTGAAATCACTATACCATATACAAATTTTGTTTGCTTTTAGCGTTTTAGTAACAAGTTATATGCAGAGAGTTAGAACAAAACATGCCTTGTAAATGAAGTGCCTAAATTTTTCATAAATTCGACGTTTATTTCTCTCCTGATAAAAATTTGAAAAATCTCATAGTAATATAAATTTATATATACACTCAAAAGAGAATCTTTTAAACGTATGAAAAAGTCAATAATTGAATTTATAAGAAATGTTATAGTATAAATCAAGTTGTGCTGGAGCGAATAACTGCTGCAAGAAAAAGCTTGAAGAACAACAAATACCAACATATTTTTACCAGTCTGGTTCAAAGCTCTGCACTAGAATTGGAGTCATGCAAAGTTTTTTTTTTTTTTTTTGATTGTATAAATTCTCGCGACCTAAAGAAACCATGCTCAAATTGCATTTATTATGTACAAATGTGCTATTAGGTGCAATAAAATTCAAATAAAAACGCTGCTGATTGATGCAGGGAAGGCGATTGAGTTAAGGCTGTAGCTTTTCGCAATTAGCGACAAGAAAATATTTTCATGTAAATAGAAATGGAAATCAGATACAATGACTGAACAGAAATTTATAACCAAATTCTACAAATCTAAAAAGGGGTATTTAAACTTATTCAACATTTTATAGTAAATATAAGTAGTAGGTAGGTATATTATTTTTTTTTTCATCACTAAGTAAATTTGATTTTGGATGGTATATTTGACACTAGGTTGAATCCTCCATTACCACAAAATATGGTAATTGAATAAGATTTTTGACTAAATGCAGATATTAGGAATTTCATCTGCTAAAGTTGTAACTTCATCTACCCCCAACCCCAAAAATACTACAAAGAAAGATGCAGTTCTATTTAGAAGACAGGTATCTAAACATTGCAACTAAAAATAGTTTTATTCATGATAGGTTATAGTTGTTTATTACAGCTAGTAAAAGGTAAGGCTTTTAATGATCTACAAAACTGTTCTATGTTACAAGCAGAAAGCAAGCCGTCGAATTTTTGAGCGCAGCACCACCTCGCGTGTAGCTTTCAACATTACTCTACACACAAAATCAGCTATATAGAACGATGAATATGCAAATTAAAATGATAACTCAAATTGAAAATGAAATAATTAAAAAAACTAATGATAAAAAGGTGTAATAACATCAGTTGCGATTCACTGTTTTTATAAATAATTGAAATTGATTTTTTTTTACCCAGTAAATAAATTATTAGATATGCATATTATATCGGCGAGGTTTTGCATCGACGGCTTGCCAAATAAGGCGTTTAATTTCTACTTCCAACTAAACATTGATAACTTAAAGTGGAATAACATCAGATTTCTAATTCAACAAACACACACAAATTTTACATGTAGGTACTAATTAATACCTAAGAATTTTTCTAGGATCAGAGAACTGTTAGAATTATCAAACATATAAAGGACATATTGTTATAATTGACTTATCTCAAAACGTACTTACCAAAATTTATTTATTATTATTTTTTTTAATCAAAATTCTTAGTCTTCCCTTTAACCCCATTTAAATATTAATTTATTTTAGAACAATTTAAGAAACTTTATGTTAATGCGATTTTTTATTACGTAGTGAACATAAATTGTAATCAAGTGAAATTACTATAATTCAAAATTATGCAGCAACTTCATACCAAATATCTTTCTTCCTTATATACACGATGGGTAATTTTTCAGTGCTGTCAAAATAGGTACCTAATATATCGTGATTTTTCGTCAATTTCACATGACACAAGTTATTGATTTCAAAATAAATAAATGCCATTAGGACATTATATTGCTGTCAGAAAATGATCAACCATGATGACGTATAGTGCTGTCAATGGCTTATGCAGACTGTTTGATTTATCTCTCGTCTGTGATTTTAAAAAGGTATACAATAGCCCTGTTCGGGTTTGAAAAAAGCACAGTTCTAGAACGATTCAAAACAGTCGCACAGTTTAATATTTAAATGTGTGATGGCCCAGCCGTTATCATTTTTGTTGATTGATGAACTGTACGATTGTTTTGAACAGTTCTAAAACCGTCCTTTTCTTGAAATCCGTACAGGGCTACCATTATCGCCACTAGCCAGCAACAAAACGCACTTATGACCGTTTCCACCAACTATTTTAGGGGAGCCTTAACGATAAGTATTCCGTAAACTGACATTTCTCTATGTAAAAATGTCATTTTAGGGAATACTTATTGTTAAGGCTCCCCTAAAATAGTTGGTGGAAACGGCCATTAGTCCTGTCAAAATAACGATATGAGTGAAGGGGATTGCCGTTGTAAAACGATTGACAGCGCTATACTTCATGCTTCCAAACCATACCATGTTTTGACATAGTACTATCAAAGTCCTTATGGTACTTTGAATCAAGGATATTATACACTACAGGCCTGTGTAGTTCAAATCCGAAACCCCCCACCATGCCAAAGTACCAGTGATGACGTAGACAGCGTGTCGTTTTTCGCCTTAATGTAGGGTGTTCATCATAAATTTTTATTTTAAACTACGACCGCTGGCGCAAACAGCCGATGATTACTTCATTTCAAAAATCGAGGCAGCAATTCTGTAGTTACTGCGTAATATGCTTGACTTTGAACTAAGTCAGAAACACAATCTGTCTTTACGGAAACGCTGACCCGATTAACCCGATCAGAGTTGATGTATAGATAAAACCAACTAAGAAGAAGCCACCGCGTGTTCTTTTGTCTCACTTCAAATGGGGTCTCAAGGGCCCTCCCTAGAGAAAAGGAAATTTGCCTTCTTCATCAATGATGACGTCAGGAGTTCTTCTTAGTTGGTTCTAACAATAGTTTGTCTTTTTTAAATCGTGCTCGTTGAAGAAAGATGAAAAACAAACAGCTGGAGAACGGGTTAATCGGATCAGCGTTTCCGCGA